ACAGGGATTCCAAAGTTGGTCCCACGGTATGACAAATGTCTCACTTCCGGTGGCGAATATGTTGAAAAATAGCTGGACACTTGCTGTATCTGTTGCAATAAATATTTCCATGAAATTGTGTTTTGTTTCTGTAAACGGCCCCAGGGAAACTTACTTTAAGGACGAGCCTCGTATTACACCGAAATTTCTCTGGACGGACTGAGGAAAACGACCTCAGCCTTCACAGTCGTTCTCGTAGCAGAGATATGAACCCCGAATGTTGATGAAGATCACTCACCGACTATAATGAAGGAAATGACAGCCCAGAGGACGCTAAGGACGGCGTACGCCACCATCAGGTCGTGGGTGTATTCCACGGGTCCGAAGGTGTCCGGCCACGCCGGCAGCGGAAATGGCGTTGTGATCGGATACGGTGTCGTGAAACCGGCTGGTGTCGTAAAAGTATCCGAAATGATCTTTTCAAAATTCAGATCGTCAGGTATGTAAGCGCATTTCTTGTCTGGAACCAAAGCGAAGTCACCTCGCTGTATTCTCAACAACATCGCCCTGAGGATGGAGGCAGTAAGTTCCTCTTACAATTCTCCGTACCGCGCACCTCTAACTGACTGTCGGAACTTAACCAACGATCACGTGTCCTTGATTTCTTGTCTGTAACTTTTACAGGCTTTTGCTTACTGTTTTCCAAGTGTTCGTTAATTCATTGACAGCTAATTAAAGTCTAGAAAACACATTAAATTATATAATGCTGTCCCAGGTATTTTATAATTTAATGCTGTAGGTATCCAGATATACTTTTCAATTCTTAATTTATTTTAACTGGAAATTTTAATGTGCGTAAATTTATTGTTCAAAAACACAAAACCAATTTTACTACACGAGTTTTCCTCCGGGGGCTTCCCCGGTTTCTCCGTGGCTACCCAACAATTACTCCATTCACACACAGAAGAAGGCAATGGCAAACCACTTCTGGATCATCTGCCAAGAACGTATATGAACAGGTCCCAGTCCGAGAAAAGGATGGAAGGATCCTGTTCATATGGACCTGTCGTCAGACAGAACACTACAAATAAAAAAAAAATTGTGAGGAACATGTTCTTAAATGTGAGGACGTGGTAAATGTCTGCTACAGATCTAAACGCTTTTGTCCAATCTAAGTTACGTGTTTATGACTGAAATCGAAACTAAAACTGGTCGCTTAAATTCTAACAGTCGGTCAGTAGCCATAACAGACTGCCCCGGGCGTGCATTTGATAGGTCGAGTGTACTTTATCGTTAACCTTGCGACAATCGATAACTCTGGTCTTCACAATCGATATTATGGCGACTGCAAATCGTACTATTAATAACCCGCGAGGATTCCAGTGACATACTTTAAATAGTTAAGACGTGAATTCTTTTATCTTCTGCGCTGTGAACTTTCACACTCGTGAGTGTTTATCGTCGCTTCAATAGACGTGTAACAACAGCAGATAACAGGATGTGGTTGGGTGGGGGAGAAGTAGGGGGGGAGCCTAGGAATTAGTGTCGTAGTCAAAGCAAGATTCACATTGTCTCAGACAATAATATTCTGTAATTAGCTTGCAAGTTGCATAACGTCATCGAATTATAGTTTTTGTGTTAGGTATATCTCTCTGCACAATGAAAATTTTACAAAGAACAATGTTAGGGCCTAAATCTGCCGCTAGATTACTCTGCCAGCAAAAGAAAAATGACGAAAACAATGCGAACGATAGTGAGGTTAGGTTTGGATTACTGAGTGTAGCAGAAAACCGGAAACGAACTCTGACACGTGACTGATATTAATTAAGCTCTGACAGAACGACTTAACGATGACTGAAGTTGTTGAAAATGTTCAGAATTTCTCTCTTTGGCTGTATAGGCACATCTCGAGTCTTTTAATGAGCTTTTGACTGAGAACACAAGAGGAGTCTGTGATCTTTCAAGTAGAGCTACCGCGAGTATTTTATCATGATAGGATGTAGATAAAATCTTCTTATATTTATGATAGTGAAACTATTGTCTTTTCTTACGTCATCACAACTCCGTGTGTTGACAGGAACTGCGCTGATAACGGAACGAACTCGTTCTGCTGCACAGAAGTGTAAAGAATTTTTTTTTTTTGACTGAAGTTGTTGAAAATGGAGAAAATGTTCAGAATTTCTCTCTTTGGCTGTACAGGCACATCTCGAGTCTTTTAATGAGCTTTTGACTGAGAACACAAGAGGAGTCTGTGATCTTTCAAGTAGAGCTACCGCGAGTATTTTATCATGATAGGATGTAGATAAAATCTTCTTATATTTATGATAGTGAAACTATTGTCTTTTCTTACGTCAACACAACTCCCGTGTGTTGACAGGAACTGCGCTGATAACGGAACGAACTCGTTCTGCTGCACAGAAGTGTAAAGAATTTTTTTTTTTTTTGGCAAGTTTACCAAGCAACGACTTTGTTCAGACAGCTCCTGATGACAAAGGTCGATGCCAACAACCACGACGCGTTAAATGTTACATTTATTCCGTGATTATTTGTTTCCAATGTAATATTTATTGTCGAGAATGCGTCAGACTGACCCCCATTGTCGAGAAAGTTTAAAAACAGACCCGTCCGCTCCGACTTGATACACTCTTGCCAGCATGTGTCGCCAAAAAAAATCGACTATGAGCATTGTTACCAACATTCGCCCATTAAAAAATGTCGAGGCTCTGCTATAAACACGTTCTTTTGTTCAAATGTTTTCGCTGTGTACTTACTGAAGAAATATACGAAGTACAGGTAGTAGACGGGGTTGGCTCGTTCGTACGTGACCTCTAGATCGCAGCTGTAGAGAGCGATCCCAAGGAACGACAGGATAGCCCATGCAATGCTTTGAAGCTGTAAGAAGGCACAGCGAGTTGTTAGAACCACATCAATTGTCGTTTGTAAGGTATCGAATCGACACGTACATATTTTTTAGTGTCTTCGGTTACTGTAAGTGTTGTATCAATTTTGTTAGTGATTCCTGTTTTGTTTTGCCGGACTGCGTGATCATGAAGTTGGAACAACCGTTTCGGAGAAACGTATCGCAACTGTTTTGTTGCATTGTTGCCTTTCTTTGCCGCTAGATGTCAGAACGCCCTGAGATTCTAGCTCTTCCTATCGGCCTAACCACGACACAATTTGGAACTTTCTCTCTGAGCATTTTCAATTCACGTCGTCCGTGTTCTTCACTTTCGATGTAATAAATAGGAATACAAATGTAAATAATAATATTCCAGTATGTGACACCATTTGTTGTTGGAATTGTGGTTTGTGACTTGAAGGTTGATATCGACGTTTCGGAGGAACAAACCACATTTCATTTTCAGGGTATCTGATCCCTGAATATGACGACGGTACGTTTCTCGGAAAAGTTTATGTCTGCCAACAAGTCAACGATTCTCAAATCTCGGCACTCTTCGGAACGGTTTCTGTGTCACGGAAAGACAACCTCGCACTTACGATTGTTGAAAGACAACTGACGGTCTGAAGCGAGCAGTTAACATCACGTGACCCGCGTGGGCTCTCGTATAGTAACGGCAATATTTTGTTTATTAATTAAATCGAATTGTATTATGGAATTGCAGATAATTTGCGCCCAAAGTATTACCAACATTTTTAAAACAAATTTACCTACATGGAATGCAGACAGTGAGAATTTTTAAGTTGCTTTATTCCTATGCATACTCCCATGTGTAAATATTAATTTTACAGAAAGATTTTTACTGTGCCTGAGGAAAACCACCTTACGAATCGTATTGGACAAATCGATGTCCATTCATCCGCTAATGTAACAAAAATCCGGAGCTGGTGTCACGAAATCGGACTTAAAACTACACTTGCGTTTTATCTCCTCAAGAATTCGAGGGATAAAAGGACGTTTCGGCTAAGAATTTTTTTATACCAAGGTGGTTTTTGCAAGAGAAGTACATTAGTCAGTGTTCAGAGTGGATTTAAAAGAAATGTTATGAACTTCCTAAGATTGTTCTTTTATCAATTATATTTCTTAATATTCTTGATAACGAACTTAAAATAAAATAATGTAGTCAGAAAGTATTCATTACGCGGAGTGATACACTGTCACAAAACCACACGCAGAAACACAAAAGATACGACCAGCTTGTTGAAAACCACTGCAAAGTCTTGACTGAAATTGTGTATAAGAGAAGGATTCGCTGGGGTACCAACTCACCAGGCAAAAGATCCCCGCAAAAATGACAGTACAACGCGGCAAGAAACAGCAACACATGCTTGATCGTCAGTTGTTTCACTGAGCTGGGCTCAGTGCTCGGAGCACGGCTTGGCGGAGTTGATAAGATAGCCTCAACAAGATATTCATCAACACTTCAAGCTGTCGCATTATCTCGGCGAATAGCCCGCTATTAACAATATTGTTCCACGAAGCCATCTGGTGACTAAAGCTCTAAATACCCGCGAAGAGACGAGCGCCGAGAGGAATGTGTCACGTGATCGATGAGTATGTACGTAGGAGGCTGATATGCTACCCGTAAGACGACAAAAAATTTTGCGTTTGAAGAGCGAGAGAATTAATGACAAATGACGAGATTGTGAGGTTATGTTATCTGGAACTATATCTGGCACGGGGAAGGTAAGAGAATGCCCGAGAAAATCATGTCGATGGGATCCCGGTTGAGTAACAAGCAGCTACAAACAACTTTCTCTTTGTGACAACGCCAGAGAATGCTTGGAATGTCCTTACAGACCTCCAGAGCGAAGTCACTTTATTTGTTCTCTGTGGCTCGTGGTTTTGGTCGTGTCTGATCCCTGCCCGTCTGACAGGAGCAAAGTCGGGATCAGCTTTCAGATGACTGCAGTCAATGCGAGAAATTTCATCACTGTAAATGATGACGATGATAATCGACCTCTATCTTAACGCTTTAAATCTAAATGGTAACTATACGTACCACCTCATATGACGTTCAGTAACCCTGAACTTTGCACACAGGATGAACAAATATAATTTCCCTAAAAACATTTGCCAAATTATTTCTGTACTTAAAAACGTACAATCTTAAATATCTCGTGGATGAGTTTTAAGTTTATCGGACTGAATCTTATTCGCGTGGGTCAGATGAAAGTTTTAAGGGATGCATCCTGTTGTATATTGAACGTCTACACGACCTGATTACAGCTTCAATGTTTATTAATAGCCCACTCTGCTAAAGTAGGCGAACTTCTGAAGTCACATTAAGTCCATTACGTGTTGAAGTCAGGAACAGAAAATTCGTGTACAGATTAGCAGTCATATCTTTTAGTTGAGAACACGAAAACCGACTGAAGATGACCAGTAAAGGTCGAAACATGTAGTGGAACTCTTGATAAATATTGAAACTGTAATAACAAATTGTTGTGTGGTCGGACCATGAGCATAACGAAAATTAAAATTGATTTTAGAAAATTTTGTGCAAATTTCATAACATTTAAAAATAAACAAATACAATAATTAAATATTATTAAAGGGTTTTTTTCACAACTCAATTACATCAATAGAACGTTTTTATATCTGTTGGAACCCTTTTTAAAAGTAGTTTGTATGTACTGTATTAAATTTCGTATAAAATCCTTTCAGTTATATTAAACATTTAAAAATCTCAGTACAGTTAAAGATTTTTTTTTCAGATAAACTTAATAAATCTACAGATCTCAGTACGTAATGTGTTATTTTGTTTTTTGTATAAATTCTGCCGAAATTTTATCAATACCTGGATATTTATCCATTTTAAACTTTTAAAATTCAATACCAACCTCAAAATAGGTAGGATCAGGTACTGACGGATCATCTGAATATTATTAGAATCTGCGTTAACGCCATACGAATTCAGCGGCTGATAAAAGCAATTCTTCCACCAATTCGAAAACAGTGTTGCAAACTGCAAGCTGATCACCATTCTAATTTTTAACCAAGTTGGCAACAATTCTCAAATTCGTGTAGGCCCACATCGTTGAACAAGACTTTTTTTTTCTAATTGTTCGTTTATAATTCGATTATTTTTTTAGTTTCGAATCTATTTATATTTTATTCCTGAAATTTCAGTCTGTGTCAGGTCTTACATTGTTACCAATTGTCATCATTCTGAATTAAACTATTCCACAACTCGTTATCTTTTAGTCGATACAATATAATATTAATGAAGTTGCAATCGATTATAGACTCCCGTGACGTCAACATTTTAACCAATAAATCAGATATTGTTTAGTCATATTTGACTAAACTCTGAGTTTCGTAAGTATTGCATTGCATGTGGACTCCCTTATCTGCTTGATCGTAAGCCTGAGATAGCAAGGAGACTTGCAAACATCTTCTAATCTCAACAAGCAACAAACTACGTGACGTTTCAAGACAGGCAGAGAAACTGTAAACATTTTGGTAATGACAAAAAAGTTCTAACCCTGCAGTCAATGTAACATCGCTGCTTTTAAATGGCGGGAGTGAATTTTACTAAAATTATTAAACGTATGTTTAAACTTCATGACCGCCTACAGAATTCCGATTAAATTTGGTACGTATATCATGCCATGGCGATGTAGGCAGCAAGCACCTCTGAAACGTCAGTAACCTTCTTCGAGACTACATGGTAACACAGCCCAAAACAGCCATATTCGTATCTGTACGAGTTTACCATCTCCAATGCATCGCTCTTGAGGCATATGATGCATTTGTCATATAATTTACCGCTTTTCTGGGAAACCATCTGCACTCTTATTTTTTTTAAAATTAGCAATTAATTATACCGATAATTTTTATGTTGGTATAATCTACAGATAGTATCGACATGGTATAGTCTGTGGGCAGAGTTCAGCACGAATGCGTAATCTGAACGAAAACTGTGTTAACTTATTAAAGAACAAAAGAATGCGTTTTGTATTTGCTGTAAACAAACATGAAAGCCACTGAGGATGCATAGTCGCGAGATAACGTTTTGAAAATATCTGTCCTCTCTTCTGTAATCTTCATGCCTGTGTGTCGCAGGAATGTCATCGTCGTAATTCTCGAGTGCTGATAATTAATACTTAGGAAGATACTCGTGTTGTTAGTATCTCACATAATTTTCTGTTTCGTGTATCGAAATACAATTCTTCACGCTTTCTTACGATATTAAGCCAAACTGAAATATTGGATTAACGAAAGTGGGTGTTGATATTTTCAATGCTAAAGAATATTTATCCCTCATCAGGGTAATACGAAGTTTTCATGTTGGTGTCATTGCGCCATATATTTCGATGTATTGTTATCATATAGTTACTAACTTCACACAAAATGGAAGAATGAAATGGTAATTTTTTAAACATACTGGTGTGTTTCTGCATGGAAGAAAATTTAAGGCATGAGAATATTTGTTTTTCAAAGAAGAATATCGTTGGTTTACAAAGCTTTGGGAACGTACGGTACAGTTTTATGGTAATCAACGTGTGTTGTTAATTACTGAGATTTCACGATATTCGTTCACAATGAAAACTGAATATTATTTGTTTTTTCTGTTTATTGAATGTGTTAAGTATACATAGTCCAATTGAAACTGTTCATACAAAGCTCCTTTCCGTAATAGTGTGTAAGTGTTGAAACCGAACATGGAAATGATCTATTTTTCTAGAAGTGATGGATCTATATTCAGTGGTGTCTAAATGGTGGATACGAACATGGAAAAGAATGCCTCTTGTGAAAGTGATGAACATATTCTGAAAACTGTAGAATGTAAGATGTCGTCAAAAATGTGTTTGTTGAAATCGGATACGGAGAAATCATCTTGTAAAGTTGATGATCTTGTGTCCAAGGTCGTTTGTGGATCCAGTGGCATTTGTTGCGGTGTAGTAAAAGAAGAATACGAAATCTGTGATACCAATGGATTTTCTAGCACTGTGTTGTGTGGTGAAGAAATTGAGAACTTGATGCCGTTGGAATATGTAAAGGTTGAATTAAGTGATGAAAATGGCGAAACAGATGTGACTATTCAAAAAGTTGCAGCTAGACAGGAGGAGTTATGTCATAAGAATAAGAAAGCTTGTACTGTTGTAAACAAAACTAGTTTGTCTGCTTCTGATGAAAAAGCTGCAGGTAGTATAAACGAAGGGTCTTCGGAATCAGGTCAGGACATTGTTCAAAGTGAGGTTAAGGAAGAAACAATTAACAGTGCAGAGAAAAAGATAAATACTGAAAACAAAGGAAATTCTGAGAGCAGGTAAGATAATCAAACCTATAGTTTATTGTTATGTTTAATGTAATGTAAGATGAATGATAAATATTAGTCCTATGCTGCATAGTAAGTCACAACAGGTACCATGACAAGGGAATCTGCTTTGTAAGAGAAAATTGAGTAGAACTAAAATATTACTTATGTTGGCAGTAGGATGCTAACCATTACAGTATTATAGTTAGTGGAATACCATGTGACAAAACTTTGTACATCATTCATTGTAATTTAACCTGGATTTAACAAAATTGTGCTGAGCAGTAACATGCAAAAAACTTTTTAGCGGAGTGTTAGTTTCGCGGTGGTAAAAACAAATTGCCTTGGATGTTAGAGTAATCTTACGTGTTTCCAGCTAGGTCTGAATGTGTTTGTATGAACAGAATTGTGGTCATGTTACAGTTATTTATGTTTGGGAGGTAATAGGTCATAGACATTTCCTTTCAAATCCTTAGCTATCACCATTCTATCTGTCATCGCTACTTAACCCATGCAAGTGTAAAACATCAATGAATTTAGGAAGAAATTCACTGATGTAAGAAGTCTAGAAAGGAGTTATCTTAACCAGAATACACATGTGTTGTTTGCAAATTCTTTTAGATGAAATACAAAATTTGCCGCAAGAAACACAGCTATGCTATGCGAGCATTACCATCAGTATCTTCCTCGTAAGTGTATCGATGCACTGCGGGCGATGTAGAAACATGAGCAGATATCTTTAGCAAAATATCCCTTCATTGGCTCTAACCTGTTTATCATCTTATTGACAAAACAAATGTTCACATTGCAGTCTAATTTTCACAAAGTGCACGAATGTGCATTTTAAATATTATTTTCTTTGTTCTATACTGATTTATTTGTTTGTTGCCAAGTGAATGGTGATAGAACAGAATTCATTCAGAGGGCCTTAACTTTGTTTTACAAACTTATTGAAAATCCAATGTTAGCGTGTGATTTTTGTTGAAATGTTTTCTTAATCTATTAGGTTTTAAAAGAACAGTTATTAATAAAAGGTTATGTCAGTTACCTTACAGCTTTACAGAATCACGCGCTCGTAACGTCTTCTGTAAGAAATGCTGATGAGTACTGATACATCACATGGCACATTAACTCTGTGGTACCATTCTAGACTCAACGTGCATGGTGTTATGGGATTGGTTCCTGGTCAGGTTAACAATTCTCTTCTTTCATCCAGTTGCCATGTTGGTAATTTACATTGTACAAAGAATTACTATACAAACGTTGTGTATTTTCTGGAAATCTGTAACGTACATCACTGTATGGTCCCACTGCAAGTCGTACTTATGTTTGTTTGCCTGTCATGTTGGTATTGTTGACTTAAGGAAATTGAAAAAAAAATTATTTAATATTTCATGAGCATCACTATGAAAAATAATGCATAATTTTGAGGTAGTCCATCCTTAGATGAGACACGCTTTTAATTGGTATCGTAACCACTCTTTACTGTTGTCAGGGCACCGCATTTATTTTCGCAGCTCGGGCAATCCCTCCCTCGTCCTTCTCCAATAAGTAAATGTCAGTAGTGCTAGGACAAGCTGAGTTAACAGACTGTACTAACATTGAATTTTATATTTGTTTTACTATGCGCTGCAAAAGTTTGTGCTTAGCGTTACACAGTATTGTTTCTTTTCTTGCTGTAAACAACTTTTTTGAACACGTTAATCCATGGTCTTCTGTACAGATAACTGAATCACATTAATTTCGACAATAGTTTAGCTGAAGAATGGAAGTGAGACGGAGAAAATATTTTTCTCAATAAAAGAGGTGGAAATGGAATCTCCAGTCACACTTGCCATATTTTGTAGGGTTTTAGATCTATTGCCCTGATAGCAGAGGATACCAATTGGGTACCGGGGTCTTTTCCCGGGGGTAAAGCGATGCCGGGGCACGTTGCTGACCGCTCACCCCCCCCCAAGTGCCTGCATGGAATATAGCAGGACTGCTTTACAAATAATTTCACTCTGAATTCTGTGATTGTAACCAACAGACCAAGTTGTGTTATGCAGTGAAATTGTTTTTAAGCATTCCCACCCAACAGTTGAACCTCCGAGTCCTACACACCAGGACACATCACGCATTTCCGAAGTTTACGTCCACACGTTGAATTTGCTGTTATGCAGTTTGCTGAGGCACCGGGATGAGACCGCACTGTGTGATTTCTTTCAGTATTTAATATTCACATTCATAAAGGAAGAACACCTTTTGGTTACACCTTGTTGATTATCTGTTAACTTCTGTTTGTCCTTGCATCCAACTGAAAATCTATTTTGTTTTTCAGGTGCCTAATCAGTTGGCCCCTCTATCTAGTGGGGCCAACTGAGTAGGCACCTGAAGACGGAGATAGAGCCCCATCTCCGAAACGTCGTTTTACGTTTTATATTTTATTTACTAGACGATAGATAATATCCAGGGAAATTTTTTATTCAAATGACTCTTCACCATCGCCAAGAACTTTTAGATTTTGATATTTTGTTCTTTGTTTTTCAATTAATTCATTCATGAATTCTTTCTCAGTTTGATCGAGTTTTATGTTGCAGACTTTCGCCAGACGTTTGTGATACGGTGTTATTTGTGATATTTTTGCCCAGTTTTATGGAACGCAAGGCGAATGGTTGTTTTCGTCCCGTTACACACACACACCAAATCAAAAGAAGTTCCAGACAAATACTAATGAGAAAAGTATTTTGTTTGTATCTTGTACTTCTGATTCTTAAAATGAGTTTCTTGTGAGAAATTATGTGGAATCTGGTGCTGTTAAGTGTCTTTTTATATGCTTCCTCTTTCCTAATGTCCCTTATCGCATAAAATTGCAGGATCGTGCGTGTGTGGTGCTAGCGTTACCATCACTATTGAGAGTTTGCACAGCCATCAATGCTGAAATAAAAGACTGCAGAAATGTGACAGTGTGTCTCGATGGTTAGAAATGGATGTTAGTTTATGGGTTCAAAAGCTACAAAGAGATACGTGTTAAGTATGCAGTTCTGCGTGAGAATTGAGACTCTTGTGGCAGTGGTTGTTGAGATTGTGTGTTGTTGCAACATTGTGCACTGAAAATGAAGGTAGTACGTTGCTCTGAAACACCTACATACACTTGGTGTTGCAGCTCGGAAGATCACGGTCTTTACTTAACGCTCATTTGGGATTGTTCCCAGTTCACTGATTTGTGATGTAGGCCAAACTGTGGTTGAAATTGTCTTAAAACACACAGACCAACTGACCTTGAATTACCAGTGTTTCACAGACTAGAATTTATTCTTGAAATTTATGTCACAACAGCATGTATCGATAAGGAACAAGTAAAATCTCGAAGGAATATCATCTTCAATACGCAGAAGAAAAATATCTGGTCTGTAAGTCTAGTCTTATGAATTTCCACCCGAACCTGCATGTGTTGAAACATGCCAGATAATGCTCAAGTACTATTTTTATGCTAGTAATAAATGTGGTTCTAAAAGTAATGGAATTAATTTTGTCATTACAGTTCAAAGGACAGCCAGAGAGCATCTGATACAGAAGATATTCAGCTGTCAGAAAGGATTCTGAAATTAAAGTCTAAAGTTTCTGGGAAAAGAGCAAAGAAAAACCGTCATAAGTCGGGCGTTTCAAAAATGAAAACGGAGCCTGTGGAACGAAAGGGCGCGGTTGTTCAGTCTGTTTCGAGGGCCAGCACTGCTCAGCTTGCGTCGCTGCTATTCCAGTCATCAAAGGTAGGGAGGGCAGCACGACCTGAAGGAGCTATTCCTACTTGTTCAATTTGCAGCAAGACATTTTCAAATAAAACCCATCTAAATTCCCACATCAAACTTCATGATGGTGTGAAACCACATACGTGCGAGACATGTTCAAAGGCTTTTGCTCGGAAAGGAGATTTGGCCATACATATGAGGCGTCACACAGGCGAACGACCGTACGAGTGCTCTCAGTGCAAGAAAACGTTTGTGGAGAAGTCGCACCTCTTGAGACACACACGTAGCCACACAGGTGACAAACGTCACGTGTGTCCCGTGTGTGGAAGCGCTTTCTCAGAGCGAGCGGGCCTAGCAAAACACTTACGCTCCCACACTGGCGAACGTCCACATTTGTGCTCTGTGTGTGGTAAGTCGTTTGCTCAGCGCGAATTTTTGATTCGACATGCACGCATACATACAGGTGAGCGACCGTTTACATGTGACTTGTGTGGTAAAGCATTCTCAGATCGCTCGACTGCTGTAAAACACGCCAGATTACACACGGGTCTCAGACCATTCCCGTGTCCTCTTTGTGGTCGCTGTTTTTCACAGAAACAGCATCTGACAGGCCATCTGAAGACGCATGCTGGTGAACGTCCCCATGGGTGTGAAGTGTGCGGTAAGAAGTTTGGTCGGAAGAGTGATCTGGTGGTGCACACGCGACGTCACACAGGAGAACGTCCGCACAAATGCGAGGCTTGCGGTAAGACTTTCCTGGACCGCTCTCATCTGGTACGACATAACAAAGTGCATAGTGGTGCCAAGCCTCATGTGTGCCATGTGTGTGGGCGCTGCTTTGCGGAGAAGGGCCACTTGGATGGGCATCTGCGTGTTCACACTGGGGAGAAGCCCTACTCGTGTGACGTGTGTTCTCGAAGCTTTGCTGATCGGGGCACGCTGGTGAACCACATGCGTGTTCACACTGGAGAACGTCCCTTCGCCTGCCCCATTTGCAGCAAGGCATTTGCACAGAAAGGCTCACTGCTAAAACATGTTCGCATACACTCGGGGGAGAGGCCCTTCTCATGTTCTGTGTGTGGCAAAAAATTTGCAGACAAAGGTTATTTTGTTAAGCACTCCCGACTGCACACCGGTGAGAATCTGCACACGTGCGCTCTGTGTGGAAAGTTCTTTGCACAGAAATGTCATCTTATCAGGCACGCGAAGGTTCATGGAGTTCAGCCCGAAAGTGTAATTATGCCAATCGTAACTATTTAAGCTTCCTGGCCAACAGCGATTTGGAACTACCTGCAGGTGATATATGTTGACCGCGTTTCAAGTTTTGTGTTCCAAAGTTTCAGTCCGTTGGGTATATGAAGCCCTTGCTGGTCTAATATCTTCGGTCAGTTTTGCATGTACAGGATTGATTTACTATATGAAATGCTGTCTAGGGACTGTATTTTATAAATGGAGTCACTCTTTATGTTAGCTTGAAATATTTGTTTCAGACGTGAAAAGATTTATCCTTCGGCTTGTCTAGCGAGCAAGTACCGAGATCCGTATCGATTCTGTTCAACCAGATATGCATTTCATGAGACTTGTATTTACAGAAATCACTCCCAAGTCTGCGTTTTGTTACGTCATAAGAGGACGTGAAATTTGCAGCAAAACTGACCAATCTTAAGTGTAAGTGAGATTTAAGGTTTTCACAGCAGTGAAAATTTTGGACCATGAGTTAACGACTGTGATCACATACGAGACCGCAGGACGTCGTAGCTTTGAAGACAACGGTCTGAATTGACAAGCACAGTTAAGAGTTGATACATAGTGATCAGCAGTGGAAAATGGTTGGTATGTCCCCATACAGAGCGTCAGTGAAAGACGTGCTCTGGTATGAACGCTTATTTATATTAAATATTCTTTTAACTGGTGTATATGTATATATAATGCACAATGTTTGAACTGTTTTAGGCATGTTTGAAACTGATAGTTGCAGAAACACGTCCGTTAGCATTGCTGTATCCGTCTGTCCGCACGGTTTCTCCTAGAGCAGTGGTTCCCAACCTTTTTTTGAGTATGAGACCCCTTCTTAACTTAAAGGAGTGTGTGGGCCCTCACATGCTAATAATTATGCTTTTGGGCTCCGTTAATTGAGAAAGTACACGACAGAAATATTAAGCTCGTCATTTCCTTCCCTGCCGATAAAATTAACTCTTCTTCGACGGTGTTCGGCTTTCGTGCCTCTGCTGCTACTTGGTAAGGAGCTTTAACTGTCAAGAGGACACTTTGACCAACCTGATACTGCTGACATCATGTTACTAAATGACTGTAGATTTTTCAGCCCAGTTCACTCACGTAGAATTTTCAACTGAGTCAAGATCTGCCCCTTGTGAGTGACTAGTCGGCACAGAGGCCTGCTGACGAGAGGTAGGAGCTCGGTCTTTTGAGAAGCCGCGTGATAAAAAGCATCAGCAACTGAGCTGCATCGTTGTTGTATAATGTTCTAACTTTGTTCTCTGGTTGATAAGAAAGGCATGGATTTGTATAGCTAAGCTCATGTATTAATATTCAGTGTTTATGATTATTTGGAATATTTGTTTTTGTTTGTTTGCAACTAAACAACTTGCATTCGTCAGAAACCAGTGTTCCACAATGGTACATTTGGCACCACTGCATGTCCAATGACTTGTTGTTTCATCCCTCCTCACTTCTTCCCAAGCCACAGTACATGTCATCGGGGACACACTTCAGCCGCCAATTTTACTGAAAAACACATTAATTTTTGAAGTTTTAATTTCATTGCAAGTCGTGTCCTTGCATCTGCTTAATTTTCTTAGGTTTTTAACTTTTCTTCAGATTTATTTTTATAGGGGCTGGAAATTAAAGAGTTCACATCCCACGCCCTCTTTCACTTGGTCTTCAGTCTTCTTTCAACTGCATTTCGAAGAGAGGAAATGCTCTGTATCGCATTTTGAAAGAAAGAGGCTTTAGTATTGTGTTCGTAACATAAAACATTTTTACAGTAAAGGGTAGTTAGCCCATGCTCAACCCCCAATCTGGAGGACCACCACTTATCAGCTGTCCGCGACTGCTAAGTCGATATATTCACAGCTAACCACCATAACTGGAGGATGTTCCTCCATCCACAACCTGAGGATGCACCTAACATGGGCTGGACATGTAGCACGCATGGGGGAGGCAACGGATGCATACAGGTTTTTCGTAGGGAATCCTTCTGGAAAACTACCAGTGGGCAGACCAGGAAGGAGATGGGACGATAACATCAAGATGGGTCTTAGGTAGGTGGGCTGTGAGGATGGCAAATGGATGGAGTTGGAGTTCCATATCCACTAGGTTTATTTATACTGGATATATCACATTCTATACAACTGAGCAGATATGACATGCAGACAATGCACGACACTTAATCTGGACTGAAGTTTTTGTATTATCAAGACACATTATGGACCGGTGTTCAGTGTTTCATTTAATAGGGACGGGTAGGAACACCAATGGCAAAAAATTTTCTGACGAATTTGAGAATGAATTGCCCTTTCAACCTCAAAATAAGGTTGAAGTATGGATACATCCTTATCATTATATCATTCTCTGCTCTCTGAATGAAATATTATAAATGAAGAAGGCTGTTTTCTGGGTTGTTGCACCGCGTAGTCTTATCGACGTTTCACAGGTCATTGCTGCTTCCATCATCAGAGGCAGCAAGAACCTAAATGACAAACAAGTCAGAAGACAGTCATCTTTGGAATCACTGCAGTGAAAACCTCAAATCCTACAATCCAGTCTCGTAAAATGAATGATTTTGTCCGGAACACGTGTTTCTCAAGACAAATTAATTTATTCTCTTGTATAATATACCTGCAGATGTTGGTGGTGGAGGAGGAGTCAGGCTGAAGTGGCGTATCAAAATGTAGCAGACACATTGGATGTGTTACGTTCAGTTTATTACAGTAAGTTTAATTTTTGAACTGAGTAATATATGTGTATGCTGGAATTCATGTCGACTTTACTTCGTGAGCAACGAAATATTTTAATGGAACACTGCAGTTTCATGAACTTACCCCACACCCTAGATGAGGTGAAAACGCCTGGTGATACGACATTGTTCGCATTTAAATGAACCCAGTGTCCACAAAATTAGAGCAGTCTCTTTACCAATGTAGCACTGAATCCGTTCTTCATGCAGACGATGGATCTGCGTACGTGGCACGTTGGCTTCTTTCGTCTCATTTTAATTTAAACCTTCCTTCCTGTTTCGTACTTCTGTTTTATGAAAGATTTCCATGATAGCGAGGAGAAATCTCGTCGACAGTGACAAATATCTACTTTCCTCGATCGTACCCTCCGAATGAAGTAAACCTGGTGTTAACTTCCTTCAAATGTTGCCATGTTTTTCATTTCGTATATTAAAACTTTTATGCGGTGCCTCGCATCGCCAGCGTCTGAAATACAAAATTTTACCCAAATCTGTCATCCGCTTTGGACAGACATGACCTTCATGCGTGGCAGTTTTGTTTTATTCAATGCCTGGGAAGATGTTGGCCATATGAGATATTTTTTTAAATGGGTAATGAGGTGATTTGTGTTTTGGTGGATTTTGTTCTTGCCGACGTACCGAAGTACCGTACTAGCTAAATTTTCTGTATATTTTGGTAAATGAAGTAAGGTGCAATATTAGTTTAATGAAGATTACTGAAAGTAATGCAAGATTTTAGTGGAAAAAATCTGAAACCGGTTAAATTTGGGACAAGCAAATGTGAAAGTGTAATGATTATGTGTGATTTTATTAATGTTAATTCCTGCTTATAATGTAATCTTATAAGTGTAATAATTTGTGTTGGAAAGAGTTTTACCAATACGAGTTATTTAAAAATAATGCGTGGGTAAAGAATCATGTATCCTGAATTTGGTGGCTATTACGTATAGCGAAGAGATTGTAGCGTAATATATACATTATTGTATTATGAATATATCAGTTTTTACATAATAAATATTATTGAAATACTGTAATTCCGTATAATGGGTTTAAAGTTGATTCTGCTGCAGATCTAATGTGTGACGGTTAACACGTTAACTGGAAAGTTTACCAAAATTTTGGTACTGGCATTTTCCCCAAATAATGTGGAAGGTCAGGTTGGCTGAAGCCCAGTCTGTATAATTTGCAGTCACGCCCCCAAATTGTAATGATGGAGTCGTTTCATCTTGGCCTTATGACGTCATTGAGATTTGCACTACAACACGCAATTTGGAAACCTATTTATATGGATAAATGCTGTTTTGTATCTTGATATTTAATCTTTCAGCAAATTATCTTCCTGTTTTTAATTTATTATGTGTTTTCATACTGAGCTTCGGTTACGATTCCCAAGTTTTTAATCTTAATAGTATGTCTCTTTTGGTGATCAAATCTTACATGATCTTAAAATGTTATTAATCTGTTACATTTTCTCTGAAATGTAATTCATGTTTTATAGAAATTATGTAATGAAAGTCACAGTGAAATGTGTTACGAAAGTAGTTCGCGCACACAAAATGTTACGATAATTTGGTGTGTTACGAGAACAGAGTCATCTTGCCACCACGTGGAAAAACTGAGAAACAGTGGCGTAGACGTGGATTTTTAAGTACCTGGAAAGATTAAGGTCGCAGTGTTTAAAAACACACACAAAATGGCAATATACTAAGTAGTACCTCCATTGATTTTTATTTTTAACCCAAATTATAACACAGTACATGTCATTAAAATATTTGTGCAGAATCCCAGAGATGCTCTTGTCTTCTTCTTGATATTTTCAGTGGATTTTTTTTTAAAGTGTGTGATTATTTTTTCCATCATGTTATATATTTAAATAATTTTTTATTATAATAATTGATAAACAATTATGCACACACTGAAAAACCTACTTTCATGCAATGATACATGTAGTTTTGATGAGTGATGGGGGCAGACGAGAGGAGGCTCGTTGAATTACGGTGCTGAGGTGGGTTGCGTGCTGTTGAAAAGGGCGGCTGGAGGCAGTAAGAATGCAACTTTGGTTTCTGTCAGCCTGTAACAGAATAAGACTTGATTGACGTTCGGTATTAAGAATAACACATCAGCATTGGCTATTGACGACCAGTTAACATCGTGACTCTACCTGTAGACATATTTATAGTTAAATAATCATCCTTTCAGACAGATATCTTATGTCGTCGTACGGCTAGGGGGAATGAGGCGCGCTTGCCCGAAGATTGCGTGGAGCCGAATAATGATTCAGAAGAGAAATTATTTTTTTGACAGGCGAATAGAAAATTCAGGACAGTTTTGTTTTTGTTGGTTGGTGTAAGACACAGAAAACAAAATATTTTGTATGGATAAAGTTGCATTGAGGTGTGTGTGTGGGTGTAACAGGTAAAGTCATCGCTGATGCTTAACTGCAGGTATATGGGGGAGTGGAGGTATAGCTCCACACATTCTTAGCTTTGGCACTAGATGTTGGTAAGAGGATGGCTTCGTGCTTGGGCTGGAAGACGTTAAGTTAGACCTTAGCACAGTTTGTTATGATGATGGTCTTTGAAAATCTCACGTGAGATCGGTGAAGTGATGACAAATTTGTTATTGATCACTAGAATTATACAGGATCCAATCTGAAGGGGCAGAACCAAACCAGGACTGACTGACTTACTTGTCCGTCTCGACCGGAGCAGATGTCGTGAAACTTCCACCGCTGCCTTCGGTCTCATTTTCCATAATTCCGATTTCAAACTGTACGCTTGATATGACGTACCTGGAAACAAGAAATAACTGTAGAAGGTTTTATAATAATTCCAAGTGTACAACCACTTTGTTCCTTCTGCGACATTTTATTTGTCAGTCGTGGTCCTCCCTGTGGTGATCAATATTTCAGAGGAACATACCACCTCTATCTTCTGGGTGATATTAATTTAATTTGCTATTATACTTTCACATGTTTTTGGATTTAAAAAATGTTTATTATTTGTTACTCGACAAATTTGTACCTGATCGTAAACTTTTTCACCATAGAAAATAATTCTCTTCCTCGTTGTCATAAGACTGATATATGAATCCTGACTATTTGATACATGTAGAACCTCTGCTGTAGACCTTAGTTATGAATGCAGATTATTAAAATGGAGTACTTTTATTCTTTTGCATCATTCAGAAATATTTTAGGCATAACAGCTAGAATGTGGATGTTTAAACCATTTGGCATGAAGTTTAAATATTTTTCTTGGTCTCGTAGACCATTATGAATTTATATGCTCTTTACACCTTGAAATCTTTATTGCGTATTACTGAATTAAATATAACATTAGGGCATTTACATTTGCTGTATTTTACTTTGCTTAATACAGCGAAGGAATGTAATACGAGAGTTGTGCTTAATCTGTGCTGAATCTAAATCCGAAACAATCTGCACTAATAAAATTTCCCACAAAGTGAGAGGGCGATGCCCCTCGTACAAATATTTGACATTACGCCAGACTCTACGCTTCTGTCGGCAATAATGTAAGTTGCAAATACCTCTTGGATAACCTTGAAGTCATATTTTCGTGACGTGTCTTTCTTTTGTTTTATGTTTTTATTTATTTATAGTCATATTCATGCCTGACAACAAGATAAGTAATTGAAAACAGTGAAAATATTTACATTGTGATTTAGACTAGCTACAGGTGGGAGGTATAAGATACTCGCGGTGATCAGGTCGCAGGTGTGGCCAAGGCTACAGAACCTTTGCCCATGCGTCACATGTATATATACAGACTGCCAGAGAAAGAGTGCACACATTTTTATTGAGAGTATAAACAGAGATAGGAGAGTGCAGTTTTCGCCAAATGAAACACTTCGAAAGCGTTGTCACACATTTCAGGCCTAGTTCCTTCCACAGAATGGACGATGCTGTTTTTAAAATCTTGCAAACAAATGACTCGTGTGCGACGTAACTGGTCGTTTGTGTACCCACAAAGGAAGAAATCCAACTGGAAACGTTTTGCCCAGAAATTGTAGTGCAGCGAAATTGTGGAAAGGTGAGTTGCTGTTTCGTGTGGTGAAAACTGTACTCTCCTATCTCTGTCCATTTTATCAATAAAAAATGTTTTAAAATGTGTATTTTCGTCAAGAGAGGATGACAAATGAATGCTAATAGTCACTTACCTTACGCTGCAGAAATTATTATTTTTATCTTGTATTTAATTAAACATTCCCCGTGTTAAGAAATGTTTGGGAACTTTTAAATCTTAAATTAGAGCAATATTTTATTTTCCTTGCACATTTTTTAGACAGCCATTTGTGGAAAAAACTGTTTTTTTTGTAAGTTTCAAGTGTAGTAATGTTTATACCGGATTTATAGGTTAACGTAAGATGTGTTGGAAATGGAGGTATGCCTCAGACATTCTAATCTCAGCATTCGTACCCAATGAATACGAAATTGGGTGGGTGTCAGAGCTGGCCTAGATGTTGTAGTGAACAGATCCTTATGAACCAAAATTACGTTTATTCCACACATCTTATAGTACAGACACACGATGTAAAATTTAATAAAAATGTAATCTTTGGTTTTCGAGATTGAATATGCAGACAGACAGGTGGACAGTCCCTCACCATTATGTTTTAGGTTATGTTGTTTATTGTAAATAATGCTTAAAAATATCATAGACAGAAAATGTACGTGATAATGAAATGAAATAGCTTTCTACACCTTCTCAGGTTGGCAAACCCACAGAAGTTGACAATACCATGGAAGTACTGCATAAGCAGTTGGCACTTAGCAGCAAATTCGATATTCTTATACGAGGTGCGATCGGAAAGTTTCAAGACTGTGTCAATACAGGGCGAAGCGGATGTAGTACGAGCTTCTGCCGCTAGGGGGTGCGGCCTACATTCATAGTGAATCAGTGTGCCAGCCGGCATCATCGAATTAGCATTTGTTTCTTAGTTACGGGCGTTTTGGTAGAACCTCATTGTTCATTACAATCGTCACAAAAACCTGCATCTGTGTAGCATAATCTCGTATCTCATGACGAAATTATGGACAGCTTTGAGGTGGCATCAGAAAACATGTTACTAATAAGGCAAGCAAATAATGTTTGAAGTAGGGACAACTTTATGTGCCAAGCTATGTCTTTGTTTTCTGAGGTCGTCATCAGGGGGTTACCGACACAGCCCAAAACAATTTGTCAGAAATCTGTGATAATATTCAACTTACGCGTTTTGAGTGTTGTTCTCACTGACCCATGATGTGTTAGAGGAGACCTCAGTTGTGGTTTCGTCAGCCATAATTTCTGCTAAGAATGCCACCAGGCAGGTAACAATCAGTGCTGCAAGCAGCTGGTCCTGATAAAAGAGAACACATTTAATGTGTGTGATATATTTAATTAAAGTTCATAGTAGCATAATTTAAGTGAAGAATTAATGAGGGTCACATCTCCCCCCTCCTCCCCAGCAAACGAACCTACTCAAGCTTATAAACTAAAGTTTGATATTACCTAACCTAACCTAACCTAACATCTGCTTACAGTATACAGCTTGTTCCATTTTGAAGTCTGTGTATTAAAATCTATTTTCAACAACACGTCACGCTAACAAATTATAAAGGTCAAACACTCATTTCATTAATGTAATTTCACAAAATAAAAACACTAACAATTTAAGGCTTATGTGAATATCGTCATATTATATCGAATTGGATGGCCAAAGTTAGGTACTTGTGATAATACGATGCTGTTCGTGATTAAAGGATATTTTGATGGAACGAAGGAAATTATAAACGCAGGGAGGCAACTTACAAAAAAAAACAGTCACTTGAAACCATTTACGTAATTTTTAATTTAAAAAGGTGGGTTAAGAGACTTCTGTGCCGTCCGTTTGTACCAAGTTACAAGTTTTGAATCAACTGACTTGTTTTTCACTATTGTAACTGCCCGAGCGAGACTGCACATCGCCCGGAACATAACCTAAATTGAGCTCTTTCGATCTTAAGACAACAGAAACCATACTCGTACATTTCAACTTAAATATACGTGTATTGGATTACTCTGCAGATGGAAAATATCGCACAAAATATACGTACATGAATATAATGGATCCAGAAGTTAGTAAGACGAGTCACTATAGAATGTGAAATAGCTACAAAACATGCAGATGAGTACAATTTGAAATATTAATTTGGTTTCACACATGTTACACTAAATCCATTGTCACACAACGGATTTGTTGATGATGATATGATCATTTCTAAACGCGTTACAAGTCCTTTTTAAATTATATTAATTTATCAACGGAATAAAATATGCGTGTATATATTTAATTTTTTTTACTTTTCATCCGAAATAATTTTTATATTACGTGTTGAAGATTTTGGTACCAGCAATGAAAAGTTTGGAACTTGGTCCATGAAGATGGTTCTTATATACATTGTGTTAACACTGTGTACAGTTGAATTTTTTTTTTCGAAAAATTTCATAGTTATTTACGATGGAGTGGTGCATTTAAAACGATATTTCCTTACTATTTAAATGGGAATAATTTTTTTCTGAACTACCCTTGTACTTATGATATATTTTTCAAACACACCTCATTGAAATAAAGATCATTTTAAATTATTGTTATAATGATAATCGTGGCTGAATAATGGAAAACAGTTAAACGTAACAAATTCCCTGTGAAGTTATCAGTGAAATGTGTAATTCAACTCACTTTTCTGTTGGTGGACATGTTGATCAGAAGCGCTGTCCTGAATAAGGGACACGAACTTCACAGTGTCCGGCTTATATACGTCCTAAATGTGAGTCACATCCAAGTAAAATCAATTAGCTCCACCTAAGTCACACGCGGCGTGATAAAATCCGAGCGAACGTTCAAGAAGTGTCAATGGTTCTGGCCTTCTAGCCATTTTGGACCTAGTAAATCAGGAGTGTCACTGACGCTCAAAGACCATTACGAGCTGGTACCAAATCGACGTAACAAGATTAAAATTGTCGAACAAACAACACCTCTAATTTGAACGTTCGAAGTGAAGGCTCTTTGTTGTCTCGTGGATGACTAAGGTTTGACGTCGATTCGCCTGCATTTGTTATTCACGTTCGTTAACGTATCAGACAGAACAAATAAAAACTGACACAGCAGCGTTTAGATAGACTACTACCAAAATACCGAATCAAAAATTATGACAAGAAGGTAAAATAGCAAACCTTACCACGCTAAAAATCTCTCAGCAGTATAATGTTTTTACTTTGTAAGATTTATACACTTGTACGCATCCTGTTTGGGGCGTACACGGCGAGACTGGTCGACAAACTAAGAGTAATCGATTGTTAATGCCCAATCTCTCAGAATATCTGACTTTGATATTGACCGCTGTCTGCAAAGGTTAGGGAGAGACTTTGAGTAAGTAAACTATCTTATATGGTGATATTTAATATTAAGAGTCTAAACGATGTGTATTATCAGATTAAATTCCGAAACAGGGCCCCAGCCTTGTGAATGTAAACTTACGAACGGCTCGGGCAAGCTTGTAAGGGATGAGATTATGTAAATGTTCAGTCATTTGTTTGATAAAGAATACAAAAATTACTTTATCACAAAAGGAGGCTAAATTGCATTGTTTGCGTAGTTGAAGACAGGAAAATGCAGATAACTGAAATAGTGCAGGATTAAAATCAGGACAGGTTTTAGTTACGAAATGGGGATATATGAAAGACAAATGAAACGAATATTAGAAACAAAATTTTTGGAGACGAACGAATCTCTTATCTGTTTCTCTCGTCAAGAACGATACGAGACGCCATAGAATTATCTATTGCGCCAGACGTCAAGAGTTGAAAAGAGGATATGCGATCGTGTAGCCACGTATCTAAAAGGTTGGAAGTGTCCAACGTTTCTTGACGACTTATCACGATCGTAGCACAGTGCTGATCAATCGAACAGGGCTTTCGTTTGTTCCAATCCGAAACGTATATAATAATCATCGCTGGAAATATTAACATCGTATTTTAACTATAGGCCTACATAAAATAATAATAATAATATTGCATTTTACATTAGAACATTTTATTTCTACGTTAAATTTTAGTGACTAAATAAACAGCACACTTTTAACGTTCTAGCGAAATTTTTGACCTGGGTGAGGTAATTTTATAATTTTCTCACTGACAAAGAATTCCTGAGGACGTCAATCATTTCATGTGCTCGAGTATAATTTTCAATTTCGAAACTTTAGTGCGTGTGATCATGACATCCTTTCGATTGTAATAGCACGTAATTTTAATGCTGTAAATAAACACTTTTAGACGTACCGGTAACAATACATCAGCCGCGAAAAGTGGGCATGGTGTCCTAACCCCAAAATCAAGATCTGAAGCATTCTTTAGAATTTCGCCCGTTAGTGGTCACGGGCAGGCATATTTCACCGGAAAACAATATTCAATTACAGGAAACCGTTTGCTGTTTACCGTTGCAAATACGTGTCATGTGCTAATCAGCTTCAGTTGATCATAAAAGTGGTTACAGTGAAATATCTGCGCAGTTATCCCAAAATATGCGAACGGTGTTTTATAAAACGAATTCGAATGGCACGACACGATATTTTCAAGGTGTTTGTTAATTGTCCTAATCACAATGCAATTAGCGTTCCAATGGAAAAGCAGGGCTGCACGGACACAGGGCAGTGAATCTGAGCTGTCCATTAATGTGGTTCAACAGGCCTCTCTCCTATATTTTTCAGTATCTTACTAGACGCCAAATAATCACAGCTGTATGAAAACATTACGTGGCAAAATTTTAAAATTCTAGTTGCCTTAAAACAGACATTCCTTGCCAATGGAACGGAATGATTTTGAAATCAAAAGTTCGGACTACTTTATGATTGGTTCAGAAGATTACGTAGCTTGTCAGCCTGGAGACGACATTTTGCGACATCTCTTGTGAATAATAATAGAAGTTCTTATAGTAGTAGTTCTGGTAAATCGTGTTAAGATGTCTCTACGTGTCCTGTTAACTTGTCCTTCATGTGTTCGACATGGTGACTCCCACTGCCTGAAGCCGCCATCATTGGCACTAGAAATACTAACATAAGGGAAGCTGGCTAATGGATGAATAAACTATGAGAAGACCTGGAAAACTCAACTGCGCTAGACATCGAGAAGTGAAATATTGATATTTGAGTTAAATTGTAAGTCTCCACTCGTCATTTATAAATCTTTTTCTTGGAGAGATTTTGATTAGAAATTCTTGTACATTGCGTTAGGTAGTAGCTGATAAATTCAGTTCTTGAAATGCTCCATAGAATTTGAGGTGCTCACGATAGTTTGTATCTATCAATATATTCGATAGTGTTTCTACCGTTGTCCTAGTTTCTAATTCAGATGTTGGTGTTCTGTGTGCCATGTTTATTTAGCTCGAAGTGCAGGATTTGGATGGAATAGAAAAGGTATTGTGTTCTGGTGTGTCGTTTCTGATATAGAACTGGTAAATTAAATACTGAAATAAGAAGTGCTTTTACCTTGATTTGATTTTTTCCTAAATTGCAAAAGATTTCCTTAAAGTGTTTATTGGGAACATATTTTATCATTCAGAGTTATTCAGTTGAATTTAAGTCAGATGCCACTAACTTCCATTTATTTTGTAATATGCTACTTTCATGAAACTTTCCGTTTTGTTAGATGTGTGGCCATGTGGCCTACCTGGCAGTACTGCTGCTGCTAACAATATTGCAGGCATTGTATCTTTCCTGGCATAATATGAAACCAGCAGTTAAAGTGTGGTAACCTTCTTTCAGCTCCACCTTAGGGGAAAAGTTTTTATGACAACTCCTCAGGATTGTCCTCACTTGCCTGACTAATGAATATTTATTACATGATAGAATTTAATAGAATTTATTTACATTCCATAGATCCTTCATAGGCTCAAGCCAAGGATGTAGAACTTGCCATTGCACAAGTACAGTACTTATTTCTAATAAAAATATAAATTACATTGATGACCAGAACTTACTCTCGTGGTTGGCGTAATTTATCACTGTGGTCCATGTTTTAATTTGCTGTCTATTGTATTTTTTAAAATTCAGTGCACATTGGGTAATATCCTTTGTAGTGTTAACTGTGGTCCGGAGTAATTGTAAATAATGTAAGGTTTGTAAAGTGAACTAAGTATGTGTGAATTTGTGTGTTGTTATCAGGCCACCCAGTTGTAGCGTGTTTTTGCTGCTGTGTAGTCATAACATTTTATAACCAGTTTTTTGACAGGGCCATGTGTATTGTTTTGTGTTGATTTTTATACAATAATTATTTAATATTAGGACAGGTCGAAATAGCCGAGTCTTGTTTGAAAAAAAAAAGAGAGGAATATTTTTTTTCAAAGTTATTTTTGTAGAGTATTTCAAAATTTATGTAAAATTGCTTTTATATTCCTGTATTTTGTAATTGGATTTCTAGGCTGGTGCATGCATCTAAAGATATCGACGTATGTTAGTGTAGAAAGACGTTTCATCCTTGCTTGGTTGATTGTCTGATAATACTTCATTGCATTCACCATGAAATCTTCAAGCCCTACACCTAAGTAGAATGCCACAACAGTACCAAAACGAAGCTTACCGTAGTTTTAAGTATAAATTTCTTCAGTTGTCTGATGCTGGTAATCATAAGTAGTCGGTAAAGTTGGGTCGAGTATAAACACTGAGATACTTAACGTTACATAAAATTTACAGAGAATGGGGAAGCTGAGAAGAGAGAGGCACAAATATCATCTGTCAAGAGCGAAGTCAACAAACGGCGCATCAGTCACTCCCACCGAGAATAATGAAGCGAGTAAAGGAGAGTCACCAGAATCGTCCGCATTGTTACCTGTGCCGGAAAATCTCTTCGCTGGTGTCGATATTTCTTTCGATAGTCTGAAACAGTCTTTGAAAGATCCTGACGTCAGGAGCGTAATATCCAAGAAGTCGCTTTCTGGAGGAAGTCTTAAATCTAAGAAAGAGAAAAAGAAACTTCGTCATGAAGTATTCCTAAAAAGTAAGAGAACGTCGTTAGTTTTTAATCTTTCCATTATGATTATCTTATGTGTGGCACAGATCGTGTTTATTAAACGTCACTGTCAGAATTCAGGTTCTGAATGTTAGAAAAAGAAGCGCGTAATTCATAAATATTGATTCGCGGTTATTGACACAATTCCAGTTTCTTTTTATGAATGTTTTCCGTTGTTTTAATGGGGGTTTGTTAGAAGTTTTATTATTCTTTTGTAAGCATTTTATAACAAAACCAAAAGTCTTAAAAGTCAAGATTTCCCCTCTCTTGGAAGTATTGGGTGTACAGGTAGGCCCTGCTTTACGACGCCTCATCTTACGCCGTTTCACATCAATGCCCTTTTAAAATAATAATGACAAAATTTAAAAAAAAAACAAATATAATAAGAAAATTTGTAAACGCAGCACAGGAAGTGGGTACCTAGGCGGCGCTAGTGTCGGCGTCGGTCGCTTTCTCCTCGTCCGCCAGTACAATACATTATAATTGTTCCTCGATTTACTCCGCTTCAGCTAACGACCCCGAGGAGGAACGTAACCCCGGTGTAATTCGGGGCCCACCTGTAATTAATTGTTTTGTGAGCAAAGAAGCTCAACTGGGGGGAATGTCAAAACTTTGACCATGTGTGTGCGCATGCGTATGCGCTCGCTGTGGTTTCTTAATGTCGCCGATATCTTCCGATTCCAAATCACCAGTCTTCCCTCTGTCCATCCGCTGTCTCTAGACTCCTCTGTCCTGGATTCCTTCCACGCTTTTGACCCTCCGTCTTCCTTTGTTTCTCCTTCGTTGTGGCATCCACCCCATCCTTTGTTTATTAATTCAACGAGCCTGTTGACAAAACTAATTAAGACTGTGATGCAATAAAACGTCATGGATCGGAATTATAATGTCATTTTTCTCGAGTTAACGAATCTCGTACTAGCAAGGCAGGTGCTCTAGCTTCTTTGCATTTGAGGGGCTCTGGTACCCAGGTACGAGAACAGGGCGCTGAGGAAAAAGAATATTTGGACTCAAGAGGGATGAAATACTAGGAGGCTGCGGAAAGTTGTGTGATGAGGAGCTTCGTAAGTCGTGCTCATCACAAAATATAATTAAACTTGTCAAGTTGAGGAGGATGAGGAAACCAGAAGGAACGAGACCATCAGAAAACCTAGACGTAAGTGGGAGGATAATATTAAAATGGATCTTACTGAAATAGGGTAGGGTGGTGTAGATTTGTTTAATCTTGCTTAGAATAGCGGCGAGTGGCGGGCTCTTGGGAGTACGGTAATGAACCTTTGGGTTCCGTAAAATGATGGGAATTTCTTGAGTGGCCGAGTTGACTTTTGGCTTCTCGGGAATGACGCGGCTTCGCGGAGGAAGTAAGTAAAATTCTGAAGGTGTTCGTGCCACTTCACAGATTCTTGTAAAAAGTGTGAGGATGCGGTGGCCCCCACTGGCAGTCTGTGCGACCAATTTTGTGCCGTACACGAAAGCGCATATATGGGGAACAAGAAGCGTGCGCAGTCTTGCGATCGGTAAGCAAGCAAGTTGAGAGATGCGGGTTTAAGGCGGAGACTGACGTCAAAATTTATTGTGTAAGAATTTAATTCTGAAGTTTTTATGGTTGTGATGAAGTTTGTGACCAAATGAATAACTATCAGCTGTACCAAAGACCTAGAATAAATGACCACTTGAGTGATTCTCTGCACGCCAAATTATGTAATGTTGTTACGTATTCTCTTTCGTTGAACGTCATTCGCTCTGATTCGCTTTCAGAACTGCAGGCAACATACGAGATAAGAAAGTCTGGAAAGAAACGGAGAAGATCAAATAAGAGCCCACGTGAAGTGGAGAATGCGGCACGGTCAGACAAACTGCCGTCCCGACATTTGTCAGACAAACTGCCGTCACTTGATTTAAACATTGAACTTGCCCAGAAGACTTCTAGCTCCAAGGAAAAGTCGGCTGCAAAACACAGGAGTATTCCTAAAGCAAAGCGCAGGAATAACGTCATGTAAGTAGGATTTGAGGTTCCCACGGCGGCGAGTCCGAAGATGGCTGTCTTCTGGGTTGTTACGCCGTGCTGTCTGGTGTGGAGGTTTACAGACGTTTCAGAGGTCCTTGTGGCCGCCATCATCAGGGTGATTTGCATACTACGTGCCACAACAACCCAGAAGACAGCCATCTTAAGATCACGTGAGTTTTCTCCCATTGACGTTTTCCCGTTTTATCTGTTAATATTGTTTGTTTGTTTGTTTGTTTTCCCTCCCTTTTCCATTTTCAGGTGTCCCTCGGCATTTTGAGTTCTGGTGTAAACTCAGACACGTTTTATGATTTTCCTTTTTTCAGTTATCAATTCCTGTGATCCTGCTTTTTGGTACAGGCTTCTGTATGGAAACGCAATTGGAATTTCCTTTTAATGTACGCTTCTTTTGTTCAGCATTTGATTTCACAATAGTTATTTTAACCTACTATTTGTTATTACAAAACAGTAATTCTGCCTGCTGTCTTGTATGGGTTCGAAACATGGTCTCTCACTCAGAGGGAGGAACACGGATTGCAGGTGTTTGAGAATCGGGTGTTGAGGAGGATATTTGGGCCTAAGAGAGAAGACGATGGGGTGTGGAGAAAACTGCATAATGATGAGCTTAAAAATCTGTACTGCTCCCCCAATATTGTCAGGGCGATTAAGTAGAGAAGAGTGAGATGGACGGGGCATGTAGCGCGTATGGATGGGACAAGACGTGTGCACCGGGAAGCCTTGAGGGGAAGAGACCTCTGGGGAGACCTAGACGTAGATGGGAGGATAATGTCAGGCGGGATCTATGGGAGATAGGAGTTGAAGGAGACTGGATTTCGTTGGCCCAGGACAGGGTCCGGTGGAGGGCTTTGGTTAATTCGGTGATGAACCTTCGGGTTCCGTAAGCCATCTGGTTGGTTAGTTAGTTTACAGTCATTGTTATGGAAAAGAAGTATCCTTATGACACCCTGGAGATTATGTGTGTGTGATCCCATTTTCAGTTCTGAACGAGCTGACCGACTTTGCCGTTGGAGACCACCCCAGTCTCGCGCTGTTTTAATTTCCTAGTCATTAATGACTAAATGGGTGTGCAGGCTTATGGGTTGAGAGAACCGTCTGTGCTCAGTTTGTGGTGAAGACTTGAAGCCCTCATCACCATTTATTATGTAATTTTCTACAGTTCTCTGCACTTGATTTCTGTAAGATCTCAAACAGTTTGCTCGTCTCAGTGATTCTCAGTTCCTTCCTTTTTTCAGAGAGAGAGAGTAAAATGTAGAATTTAAAATATTGTGGGTTGTATTCCGTCTAGGGGCACATGCAGGTGTCCCGGAAAGTTGCGCACACACAGGGTTAATATTCCATATTATTATGTGTATGCATCTTTTTGCGACTCTGCATTTCTGTAATTGTGTATCTGAGGATGTGTACAAATGTGAAGAGATTGCAGCTGTGGTTTGTTTAATGAGTTCTGTGTTTCTTCAGGTTGCAAGACATTTCCCTGTTTAAGCGTCTTCTGGCGAATGACGGATTCAAGGCAGATCCAGTGACGTCAGTTTCAAGCCACGTTCGATCTAAGGTGTACGAAGAATTCATGAGTGAAGCCTGATCGTCCATACGAATATTTGGTAATAAAATAAGCTGCTTTATATGAGAATGTTGGAAAACGTAGTCGGAACATTGCGCGTGTTTTATCGACATTGTCTGTACGTATTCTTTCTTTAAATACGACGGTTTGCTCAATAAAACAATTTTAGCGTTATAAGCCTAGGTCTACATTTACGCGGTGTTCGTCTCATGTGACTATTTTTTTGCCGTTGATTGCACTTGTGCTTGGATAATGTGTATTCATATCAGTGTTCCTCAACAGCAGAAAATGTTCGTCCTTCTCCCATTGGCTAATTCCCAAGTCATGTGACGAGCAACATGCAGCTTGCAGGCCATAGGTTGTCAACCGCTGTTCTGAATTGCGGTAAGAGGACTCGTCTTCCCGTGGAACGTCTGCGTAGCTCATTTGCATCGGAGTGGAGTTTTGCGTCTGCAGAGGTGACGTACAGTGGTAAATTTTGTGTTCGTTTTTCGAGGATCTCGACTTATTGTAGTCGTCACGAAATTAGATGTTTCGAGACGCAACATCACGGAATGAATCCGCCTCTCCTCACCGCGTGACTGTATATTCACGGCGCTGCCTTCCAGCTTTCTTCATTTCTCACATTTTGTGTCATACGTTAAATCGTTGGGCCCGGTGTAGTGATATGGAACGTCGGTCTGAAAATTTCTTGGCCGTTACTTTGTTTGTAATGCGTGACAGATTGGGAAAATGAGACATGAGAAGTCAGAATAATCAGATTATGTTTAACGTCCACAAGTCGTGGTGCAAAATCACTACCTGTTTGCAACGCCCAAATATACACTGTATAGGGTGTATATAAATTATCTTTGCATTTTCTTTTGTGGATAAAATCTCGTTGAAGAGACGTAGACGCTGTTTGAGCAGCAAATGCGACAGAAACTCTCGAAGTTTAATCAGGTTCCAGTAGGTGTTATTTTTGTACACGTCTCGCATATACCCGATGTGTGCTCGGCGAGTCACGTGCCAGATGTGGGAACAGTAATCCAAGTCATCCCAAATTTAGTGCTTTATGCTTGAATTTCTTCGTGTCGGACGTAAATGGGTACTTGGCCGGATTGGCCCGTGCGTAATGCGCGTTACGCAGCTGTTGCGGAATCTTTCTGCGCTAACTGCAGAACACGCCAACTCCTCTCTCGTGGGGGCAGCCATTTTCAAAACCAGTGGCATCTAGCGGAGGCGTGCAACAACAGCCATCACCGGACCATTTGAAAGAAAACTCTGATAGTTTTTCTATCGACTGGTGCGGTTCTGAAGTTCTAAGTACGCTGCATTTGTTTTCTGTATAATTTTTAAAGTGTAATGTTCTTTTTTTACTCACCCTGTATTTTTAGTTGGTGCTTACAATCTTTTATCTCCTTCTTCCTTGTACGTTCTCTCCACTTGCGTGGGAACCCCATTTATGTGTGCCACCTACGTTTTGAACCACCGCAGCCTAACAAAACCATAAAGTGCAGGGGACGTTTAGCTCGACGCAGTTTGAGCCGTCATGAGACTGCTTGGTGAGGGGAGATGGCTGAAAATGGATGGCATAGAAGGTTCCTTACTTGACTAAACCATAAATTAATAAATTTAGTATTTTATAACAAAAAACTGTCTTAATTTAAATCTGAATTTACGAGGGATCGAGCGAGACTCGTCCCTCGACTGCCCCGGATGTGATGACAAAGAAATGAAGAACGCGGCGGTCAGAATGTGTCAGTCCTGCAAATTGTTCGACTAAACCTAAGTTGTCTCGGTTACGCTGACGGAGCTGCGGTGTTGCCTCGAAACGTCTGATTTTGTGACTTTTTCAAAGTCAAAATGTTCATACAAGAAGTTCCTTTTAAAAGTCATAAATGTGATGTTGTCCTGGAGGCGGATGAGTTTGTGGATGTGTCGAGACTCTGCGGATGGTTTTCGTTGTCAAAGGTAAGAACCTGGTGTTTTTGTAATAGGTGATCAAGAAATTTGAAGGCTTGACTTTTGGTCACCGAGGTAGTGATCTTATTTATCGCTGCTTGCACGTGCATGCGCACGTGAGTATAGGAGTTTCCAAATCCTAGAAAATTCAGGTTTGAGACGTTTTAAACGAGTGGCATCCGAGGGTGCGCCTGCAACTTCCATCTCGATGGACCACAGAAGAAGAATTTCTGTCCCGATCACGAGATAAAAAATTGGATCAGACACTAAGCCTGATTTCTCATCCATGGCAAATCGTTGCGATAATGTGGATGAATAGAAACCTCACCCATTGATCGGACGTCAGTGTTAGAGTAGTAATTACAAGTGTTAGGTTAGGTTGTCATTTGTTTTTGTGTGGACGTCAGTGTCAGAGTAGTAATTACAAGTTTTAGGTTAGGTTGTCATTTGTTTTTGTGGTCATGAAGTGTAGTTTCTTAATATGGGGACTGAACATACATTTTAAGTATTTAAAGACGAGTGTCGTGGTGTAATCCGTACTGGAACACTCGGTTTCCATACGCGTGCTTTGAAAGCTCTAAATTATGATTGATCGTAGATGAAATAAGAAACGATATATCGTAAATTTAGTTCGCGAGTATTACCGTCGATATCGCGCGTATAAACACAGTCAGCAGAATGCAGGTTACGTAATAACAGGCAGAAATCTTGAACACTAGATTCGTTAACAAAATCAAATGCATGAACGTACATAGTTTCCTTTCTCGTCTGATGATTCATCGCCTGTCGGAAACTGATTGTTGACAAAAGAAGGTGCTTTCAAAGTTACGTGAATTTGTTTTGCAAAGAAGAAATTCTCTTCAGTTGTTGATTTTAAAGAAAAAGATACTTTTGTGAGGTTATGTTAGTTACATTTAACAGCTTTGGCTTCTAACTTTGCGTTGTTATTTGAATACTGCAAATCAGAAAGATTGCGTAACGATGCGAGTTAGATTTGTGTAAGAGCACTGGACTCGTGTGCGTATGGTCCTGGGATCGAATTCTGGTAAAGCCATTTTTTTCACGTTTATACGTTTCGACAATGTTGAAACTGCCACAGAATATTGCGATGTAACATATGACGATGCTATTCGGCGTTTTTGTAAGTTTTATTCCGAAGGCGCCTAAATATTGTTCCGATAGTCGTTTTTCGTCCATGTTCTTGGGAAATGCTTCTCGCTAATCGAAACAGCGATAATATGGATGGGTGATGTTGATTTGATATTTCTTTTACAAGAATAATTACAATTACGTAATGTATTTTAAAGGAAACAATAAACACAGTTTCAATGTGACGTGTGTACGCTTACAGTAAAGTTGTTTGAACGTACTGGGTAATTCATTACAATAGATAAAAGATGAACACTTGCGGTAAATTGTGTTAATCGCGTAGAAATGGTGACGAGACGCAAAAGTGTGTGCCCTCACGTCATTTATATTTGCACATCTCCCCGCCTCGGGTTTTCAATGCACACACACACACTCGCCCTCACGTTATTTATATTTGCACATCTCCCCGCCTCAGGTTTTCAATGCACACACACACTCGTTCCAAGCAATGGTTTCTTGCCCGCTGAATCATTTCGAGGTCTTCTCCTGTTACCCGATGCAGCATTTCTGTCACGTGAGTTCTCTGGTACTGTAGGTCACGTCTTTCGTTAGGCCCCAGTCAAGTTGGTTGAGGTCCGGAAGTCTCGATGTATTTTATCACCACGACCAATCCCAATGATTTTCGTAACGTTTATTATAAAGTACGTCGCAACATGATGACCGACGTACGGTGGCAGCACTTGCGTCGTGTTCAAAGACTATCCTACGCCTTGTCTGCAGAAGCACTGCCTTCGTCAGGAAGTAAAAAAATAGTATTCAGCCCAAACAGTTACGTGTCGTCATCTATCGAATTATACGCGAATGGACATCTGAAATTCTTTTGACGAGTGGTTTTTTTTGGGCCGTGTGGGCTGGTATATATTACCGACGTTTCGGAGATATGGAGGCAGAAAGCTCTTAAAACGTCCGCGACACTTGCAAGTAAGCTTTAAATATTGTATAAACATATTTTACTCGAAATTACCTCCCGAGGTTTATGGCGGCACCTCCCGTTGTCCACCGTCGACACCATTTCGACGGAAAATTAACCAGTGATGATAACAGGAAAAAGTCGAATTGAAAATTTTGTGCTGAAGTTAATTTTTGTTGTGTTCCATGAATGTAAATCGTGAGGAACGTAAGGTTAGGTAAAATTTCCTCTTCCAGGGACTTGCCACGTAAGACCCCGAAAACGTCGGACCCCGTGTAGATAATCAAATCGAAACTACGTTTTATTTTACGAGTCGATTTCTCGACAATCGACTTGTGCCGAGGGCGCGGGTTAATTTAAGGAGGAGGGAGGGAAAAGGAATGTTTGCACCCCTGCTGTTTCATCAGTTGGTACGAACCTTTCAACGAGGTCGCTTTGTTTTCCGATTTTGTTAATCGTGGTTTGTGTTTCGTGCAACGAGTCGTGTCATCGTTTTGCATCACGGAGCGTCGCCATCGAAATAGTCCACGAGTTTTCTTCGGGTATGGAAGGTATTGGTTCGTCGTAATTCCTCTTATCGTTGTAGACTTTGTGGTAAAACAGAATCAATTGCCCTTCAAACCACTTCTGCTGGTGTTCGTGTCTAGCCTCACGGACTCATTTAATCTACGACTCGTAGACCAAGAATTTATGACTGCAATAATCATACTTTAAACAGGGCAAAATATTCAAATTTCTGACTGCAATGATCATACTTTAAACAGGGCAAAATATTCCGATAATATTTGTGGGCTGTTTACACACAGAAATTAATGATACTTCGTTGATTATTTTTAAAAAAAAATATCAACTGCTTACGTCATAAAATATAGAGCGAGAGACATGATTATGAATTTGGAAAAGAAAAAAAATCCCCCAAACTTATTTAACGACTCTGCATTGAACACAGGTTTATGTATGTCTCTATTTGACGGCGACTAATCAACTCGAAAAGTTACATTAGCCGTTGAGAAGGTAATTATGATCCGATGGGAAGGATTCATGTTTTGAAAAACGCGACGGACAGACAGACGTGGAGAAGACTGTGAATAGTTCAATCTCTTTAATTTTTTAATTTAATTTAATTAATTTTAATTTAATTAATTTAATTTAATTAAGGCAAGTGAGATAATAT